GTCAGATAAGTCGTGCATGTGTGAACTCTCATAGAAAAGTTTAACAATTACCTACTTTCGTTTGAATAATCTTTAAATCGTTCTTTAATATCTTCTGTAAAGTTGTCATTGTGCAGACGTGGCCTCATTACATCCTTAGAGTAATAAGGTTATTGCTTTTTATAGTACTGAGTTTTCGACCACAAGGTTTACAACTTAGTAGAGCGAGCCGTGGCGTCCCCATGGTAGTTGAAACGCAAGTGAGTTTGCGTTCGAAAATAGTATTTTCCATATAAATGTGTGATGAACCGTTTTTTATTTATATTATGAGCTTTTAACATCTGTTTATGAAGGGAAAGGACTTGACTGAATTACAATAATGGTCATAAATTCTTAGGCATGTCGCGTCGTGATGCCGTCGCGCCGTCGCCGTTTCGTTATTTGTTGCTAGTCGCCAACTGGTATGTCTGCAGCCGGCATTCACCCCACAGGCGACAAGAAAAGAGAGGTATTCAGGCTATTGTATTGAAAAAAATATCAATGTTGGTCGAGAGTTATCAAAACCATTATATTATTACTTATAGTAGCGTAAGGGCCAAACCACAGACCAAACAAAACTAACAAGGAAATTACGTTTTAATACCAGTTTTAATATCAGTAGAGCTCCTTGTGAAACAGTTTGTCCAGGGAAGTACTGCCACTTTACCTATTTCTGTCGCCAAGCAGTGATGTAAGCATTAAAGGTAAGGGTACTGGTGAAATTACAGGTACATGGGACTTGTCAACTTGTCTCAGAGTGTTGGGCGCAATGGTAGTGCCCCTCAGATCTTTGTAATTTAATACTCTGAGTGGTACTGCGACTGTTAGGGACAGGTGTGTCGTTTTCCACCAGGCCCACGACTTATACGTACAGTCACTTGGTATTATAACAGAAAAATCTGCGGCCTCGTTGATGCTGAACACTTAGTCACTTATGTAATACCTAAATGTTACAGTTCGTGAAAAATCTACGTCGTCTATGTTTCACGTAATAACGTACACACTCAACATTAGAAGTGGGCCGAATATTCGTTTTATGTTCGGTATTCGGTATGTTCGGCACAATAACCGAACATTCGTATTCGGCCGATTATTCGGTAAAAATGCCGAACTTTCTGCCGAATATACTTTTTGCGAAAAATTAAATCGTTTAGGTACGTACCTACCTGACTGATTAGTTAATATCGTACGTACCTACATCTAAAAAATGATAATGAATGCTTCTAATTCTAAGAAATGATTGCTTTGGATAATCAACCGATCTCAAATGTAGAAGATATAGATTTCAATAGACTAATGAACCTCATTAAACCAAAATATCAAATACAGAGCCGACATTTTTTTTGGAGAAAGATGTATTCCTCAATTTTATAAAAAATAATCCATCAATTTTTTCTTTTAATGCATAGTTTTTTAGTAATTAAACATACCAATAATGTGTACTACAGATACCCTATTCTATAATAAACTATGATGAAACGTGCTTTCACACTTAAAATCAGGTTAGTTAGTTAGGTCCTCTAAGAACTAATGCTTCGTGTTTGATGTGTTTGTATCAGTGATATTGTTTATTGTTGTCGCTACAACAAAATATAATATTTCGTATAGTTCAAACATACCAACAGACTACGATAAAAAAGAAACAGGAAAAATAATAATATCGTCAGCTTTGTAAACCTCGTAACTCCGTTTTTGAACGAAAACCTCACACGGTTACGAGCTTTTCAGATTTAGCCGACAATATAATATTATTTTTAAATTGTATGTGCAATAATAAAAGGAAACAACTTAATTACCGCCTTAGTCAGGAGTCATTATTTTGATAATTGAGAATCATGATCCAACTAGTTAGTGCAGCGTTAAAGCAGACGGCTTATTAAATTTCATAGAGTCAATAAATTTGAGTGTAAAAATAAAATAAGTACTTGGCTATTAGCACTTGAATATGATGAAACAGAACAAATATTGGTATAGCTCGTTTTGCGTCAATCGTATCCCATTGTAACTCTAGACAGGTAACACTCTAGTCCGCTCCAAATCTCATTATCACTCACGAAGAAACGCACAAACGCTCACACAAACACGCATGCACACACACTCACTCGCACATGCACATACGCACACGCACACGCACACACACACACACACACACACACACACACACACACACACACAC